GTAAGAAGCAGAGCCAACACCATTGTTCACTAAATTTAAGCGCAACACTGATTAAAATATAACACTGAGATGCGATACTGCTCATGTGGTGATAGAACCATAAGAGAAGTACCCTGCTGGAATCTGGGACCGTAAATATAAAAACAAATACAGACGTATGTATAAAGTGCAAGGGCAGTAATTCCCACTTTCATAGTCTCATAAACATTGTGCCTTAACCTAGATAAGACGAGAAATGTATCTAACAAATATTTAACTTCGTTACGTATTCCTACTAGCGGTATTAATATTTCTCCTTGTGATGGTGGTGCTAGATGTAAGATTCAGTCCCACACAAACACTTAAACGAACTAACAAAAAGCTTGAAACGGTATTTTGTTCACTTTCTTGTTTCTAATTATGATATTTTGTAGGGCATAATCTTACTAACAGAGTAGTAGGACTTAACACTAACCTGAGCTTTCGTTCGTTATATCACCAGTGTTTTGGAATCATAACCACGTGTGTAGGTCACCCACGCGTGATAACAATCCCACTAAACTTGTACACTTTAGCACGACGGTTAAATGCATAACATTAGTGAAATTTTGGATTTTTGTTTGTTTTGAAGATTTTGTGGTATTAAGCGACAACCATTTTCAGTTACATCAGTTATCAGGTGTGACGTATTGAGCCAGTAAACGTGTGACTAAGTATGCTAATGTTATTTACACACACTGTGGTATCGAGACAATAACCCTCACAGGGTGCTGCCACTCTTATGTGGATGTTTCTCAGGTTAACATTTACAAAATAAAGGTCAGAGTCTGAGAGTTGTGTACGATGGTTAGTCCTCGTGACTGAAGATGGAAGAGTGCACCTCAATCATTGACTTAAGGTTAAGCACAAAAAGGAAGTCCAAACAAAACGTAAAAAAATACAGCACATGCGTTCACTTATTACCAGTTACGAGACAAAATTTGTGTATGGAATGTTTATAAAAACATTCCTTGCTTTAATTTTGTCTGGTACTAAGTTAAGGTAGAGTAGGTAGTTCTGATGCTATTTTGGCATGATCATTTTTGTGTTTTTATCTTAAGTCAACCCCAATCGCTCATATATCCATCCAACCTATGTTTGAAGCTATCCAGCGTATTCGAGTTAATGATGATGTTTGATAACTTGTTCCACTCATCCACTAATGTATTTCCAAACCAATGTTTAACTATCTCGCGCCGAAATCTAAATTTGTCTAATTTAAAACAATTGCTACGAGTTCGCTCCTGGTTGGATAGTTTGAGTACCTTTGTAATAATTATCACTTTTGTTTAGCCTTGACATCCATATATACACCTCGATCATATCGCCCCTCACTCTACGTCTCTCGAGGGAGTGCAAATTAAGATGCTTTAACCTGTCTTTGTACTCAAGGTTCCTAATGCCCGGGATTAGTCTTGTCATTCTCCGATGAAACCTTTCTAGGGATTCTATATCCATTCTGTAGTACGGTGACCGGAACTGAAATGCGTAATCCAGGGGGACCTCAGAAGCACAAGATATAATTTTAGAATAACCTCGCTAGTCTTGTAACTAACATTCCTTTGTATGAACCCAAGGACTTTGTTAGCCTTGTTTCGAGCAAATACACATTGTTGACTTGCCTTAAGGTTCCTACTTATCATTACTCCTAAATCTTTCTCACAGTCGGATTTCTCTATAACATTGTTGTTCATTTGATATCTGGTTTCTATATTTACATCTCCTAGACTACTGTAAGTACTTTATATATGTCCACATTGAATTTCAGCTGCCATATTTCAGACCATTCGAAAAATTTGTTTAGCTCTTCCTGTAGTTTTGCGGAGTCCTCGTCAGATGTAATTACACGCTCTATTTTAGTGTCATCAGCAAATTTACTTATGTTGCTGTCTACGCCTATATCTATGTCGTTTATGTATATAATAAATAATAATGGTCCCAGTGCTGAACCATGGGGTACTCCACTAATGACGTTACTCCAATCGGATTTAGTAATGTTAACGCTTACTCGCTGTTTCCTGTCATGTAACCACGCTCTAATCCATTTGAGAATATCTCCTCCAATTCCATGAGCCTCCACTTTTCGAGATATACCACATCATAATCGTGCCCGCCTTTCACTGATTAGAAAACGACTGAAAAGAATGTTAATAGATTGATTCGAAAATAGCTGAAATGAATGTTAATAGATTGATTATATGAGCTTTTAAGAATGTTGGCCTTGTTTATGTCCAAGTAAGCTCCACATATATTTCAATAACAATTAATTGCCACAGCGGAAATGTCAGTGTCAAATCTATTTCCCGAGGCGTCGTCCCCTTGTCAAAGATTAAAGACGTTTAAAGGAAGATGATTTACCTTGATGGAGGATATATCATATAGGAGAAGCCCTGTGTAGCAGTGTTCCATTCACTGCTAGTCCAGGGCATAACTGAACTGAGGGAGGTTTTATTATGACATAGGGCACACACACACACACTGAGGTTTCCCTTTATGACCTTGTAAACTAATGTTGAAATAGTAGGTCTGAGATTACCTGAGTTAACAGTGGGTAACACTTGCCATTAGTAGATGGGAATGGTGTGTATGTCTGAAGGCATGGGTTGTGTATGCCTGAAGGAGTGTGTTGTGTTAATATGTATGAATACATGTTGTGTATATGTGAAAACGCTATAACTATTGTGTATTGTGAATGTTGTGTCTGTTTGAATGTTCTGTATGCCTGAAAGTGTTCGTTGTGTTTGTATGTATGAATGCATGTTGTGTCTGTTTGAAAGCGTGACAAATGTTGTGTATGTATGAATGTAATGTGTACACTTATGTTTATGGTTCAATAAATAATGTTTAAAATCATTTTAGAGGAGAGGTAATCAACTAAAGGAACCAAAAACAGATCCTTAAATTAACAAAACAGTAGATATTTAAGTGGTTAAAGAGATAATACTGAAGCAAATTAATAGATAGAGAAAAAATGATTATATTGGAGGTTAATTGAATAAAAAAATGAATAGGCAAACGAATCGATTAGTAGAGAGAAAAAAATTAATAAAGACGTAGATAGTCAAATGATTAGATAAATTAAGAGATGAAAGAGATATAAAATTCAACTAATGGATAAGCACATATATATATATATATATATATATATATATATATATATATATATATATATATATATATATATATATATATATATATATATATATATATATATATATATATATATATATATATATATATATATATATATATATATATATATATATATATATATATATATATATATATATATACATAGAGAAAGAGAGAGAGAGAGAGAAATAAATGAAAGCTTAATAGATGTGAACTCCCAGGTATAGTATGAGGTGATCTCACAAGTGGCGCGGGGTGTAAACATTGTTATTTTGACTCGCCTGCAGGGCGTCCTCTCTCTCTCTCTCGCTCTGCTTACTTTATGCTTTGTTTTTTTGTTTTCTCTCTATCTCTCTTTTGTCTCAATTTTTCTGTTTTTCTCTTTCACTCGCTTGATTGTTTTTTCCTATATCTTTCTCTTCCTCTCTCTCTCTTACTTCCGATCTCTGCTTGCCCTCTCTCTCTCTCTCTCTCTCTCTTTCTCTCTCTCTTCCATACCCCGTTCACTAACTTAAATAGATATTGAAAGGAACTTGACACCAGTTGAACTTAAATAATATTCATCGTCATATTTCTTTCACAGTTGATGCATGGGGAATAGGATGCGTTTAACGTCGCTGGCGAGTATTAATTTACACGCACAAGAGGTTCAACTAAATGCTTCCGCTTTTCCAAGTTCGGAAAACACGCTAGAAACGAGACCAAAGTCTAGATTTTTTATACTCAATGTCTGTGATCTATGAAGATGTAACAACACAGATATGAATATAAATGCACGTACAAAGGGTGTAAGTGTAGGTACAGGGGTGAGTACAAAGAACATAAGAATAAAAGAATGGAGGAAACTGCAGCGGGCCTATTAGCCCATACTGGGCAGACCAATTTACACCCAACCCCTATTGCTCATATATCCATCCAACCTATGTTTGAAGCTATCCAGCGTAATCTAGTTATTGATGATGTTTGGGAAATTATTCCATTCATCCACTACTCTATTTCCAAACCAATGTTTACCCATTTCTCGCCTAAATCTAAATTTGTCTAATTTAAAACCATTGTTACGAGTCTGCTCTTAGTTGGATAGTTTGAGTAGCTTTGTAATGTCCCCTTTGTTTAGCCCTGACTTCCATTTATACACCTCTATCATATCGCCCTTCACTCTACGTCTCTCAAGGGAGTGCAAATTAAGATGCTTTAACCTGTCTCTGTACTCAAGGTTCCTAATGCCCGGGATTAGTCTTGTCATTCTCCTCTGAATTCTTTCTAAGGATTATATATAAATTCTGTAATACGGTGAACAGAATTGAACTGGTAATCCAAGTGAGGTCTCACAAGCGCAAGATATAGTCTTAGGATTATCTCTCTTGTCTTGTAACTAACACTCCTTTGTATGAACCCAAGTACTTTTTTAGCCCTGTTTCGAGCAAATACACATTGCTTACTTGGCTTAAGATTCCTACTTAACATTATTCCTAAATCGTACTCGCAGTCGGATTTCTAAATAGCATCGTTGTTCATCTGATATTTGGTTTCCCTGTTTACATCTCCTTTACTGAGTACCTTACATTTATCTACATTGAATTTCATCTGCCATTTTTCAGACCATTCGAATTTTTTTTAGATCTTCCTGTAGTTTTGTGGAGTCCTCGTCAGATTTAATTACACGCCCTATTTTAGTGTCATCAGCAAATTCACCTATGTTGCTGTCTACGCCGATATCTATGACGTTTATGTATATTATAAATAATAATGGTCCGAGCACTGAGCCTTGGGGAACTTCACTAGTGACGTTGCTCCAATGGGATTTAGTGCCGTTAATGCTCACTCTCTTTTTCCTGTCCTGTAACCAC